ACCTGATTTGTGATCTAGGATGTGATCAATTCTGGAGAATGTTCCATGGGCACTAGAGAAGAATGTGTATTCCGTTGCTTTGGGATGGAATGTTCTGAATATGTCTGTGAAGTCCATTGGGTCCAGTGTTTCATTTAAAATCTTTATTTCCTTGTTGATCTTTTGCTTAGATGATCTGTCCATTTCAGTGAGGGGGGTGTTAAAGTCCCCCACTATTATTGTATTGTTGTCAATGTGTTTCTTTGCTTTTGTTATTAATTGCCTTATATAATTGGCTGCTCCCACGTTAGGGGCATAGATATTTACAATTGTTACATCTTCTTGTTGGATAGACCCTTTAAGTAGGATATAGTGTCCTTCTTCATCTCTTATTACAGTCTTTGTTTTAAAATCTAATTTGTCTGATATAAGGATTGCCACCCCAGCTTTCTTTTGGTGTCCATTAGCATGGTAAATGGTTTTCCACCCCCTCACTTTCCATGTGGGGGTGTCTTTGGGTCTAAAATGAGTCTCTTGCAGACAGCATATCGATGGGTCTTGTTTTTTAATCCAATCTGATAGCCTGTGTCTTTTGATTGGGGCATTGAGCCCATTTACATTCAGGGTAACTATTGAAAGGTATGAATTTAGTGCCATTGTATGGCCTGTAAGGTGACTGTTACTGTATATTGTCTGTGTTCCTTTCTGATCCATGCTGCTTTTAGGCTCTCTTTTTGCTTAGAGGACCTCTTTCAATATTTCTTGTAGGGCTGGTTTTGTGTTTGCAAATTCCTTTAGTTTTTGTTTGTCCTGGAAGCTTTTTATCTCTCCTTCTATTTTCAATGACAGCCTAGCTGGATATAGTATTCTTGGCTGCATATTTTTCTCGTTTAGTGCTCTGAAGTTATCATGCCAGTACTTTCTGGCCTGCCAGGTCTCTGTGGATAGGGCTGTTGCCAATCTAATGTTTCTACCATTGTAGGTTACCTATCTCTTCTCCCGAGCTGCTTTCAGGATTTTCTCTTTGTCTCTGAGGCTCGTAAGTTTTAGTATTAGATGTCGGGGTGTTGACCTATTTTTATTGATTTTGAGAGGGGTTCTCTGATGCCTGTTTCCTTCCCCACATTAGGGAAGTTCTCTGCTATAATTTGCTCCAATATACCTTCTGCCCCTCTTTCTCTTTCTTCTTTTTCTGGGATCCCAATCATTCTAATATTGTTTTATCTTATCGTATCGCTTATCTCTCGAATGCTGCCCTCATGATCCTGTAGTTTATCTCTCTTTTTCTCAGCCTCTTTATTTTCCATCATTTGGTCTTCTATATCACTGATTCTCTCTTCTGCCTCATTTATCCTAGCAGTTAGTGCCCCCATTTTTGATTGCACCTCATTAATAGCCTTTTTGATTTCGACTTGGTTAGATTTTAGTTCTTTTATTTCTCCAGAAAGGGTTTCTCGAATAACTTCCACACTTTTTTCAAGCCCAGCTAGTATCTTTGAAGCCATGATTCTGAACTCTAGGTCCGACATCGTACTAATGTCCGTACTGAGTAGGTCCTTGGCTGACGGTACTACCTCTTGTTCTTTTTGCTGAGGTGATTTTTTTCGGCTTGTCATTTTGTCCAGAGGAGAATAGATGAATGAGAGAACAGAATGCTAACAGGTTAACAACGTCCCCAGCAAATATACTCTATAGAAATCAGAAAAGACCTCAAACCAGGGGACAAGACAGGGAAAGAAAGAAGAGAAAAAAAAAAAAGGAAAAAGAAAATATAAAAACAAACAAATACAGAACAAAACAACAAAAAAAAACAGAGTATGATCAAATATGATCAGGTTAGTGCATAGATCCATGCCACACATTAGCTTTTGGGCATATTTTGGTCTGTTAGAAGAAAGTGCCTGCTAAAATTTTAAAGGAAGAAAGACTTATATATTTACAAAATAAGGGTTGATACAATGAAGGGATGGCAGATGACTGTAAAAATGAAAATTATAAAAGATTTTATAAAAGGACTTGATAAGATAAGAAGTTGTTTTTAAAAAGAAAGAAGATTTAAAAAGAAAAAAAAGGGAGAGAATGTGATTAGGCAGGATACTAGAAGAAAGTCATACACTAGTGATTTAGGGTATATTTTGATCTGTTAGAAGAAATTGTATCTCAAAATTTTAAAGAGAGAACTTATATATATATGCCAAAAATAAGGGTAACTACGATGAAGGGATAAAAATATGACTCTAAAAATGAAAAATAAAAAATGTTTTTTTAAAAAAGGGATTGATAAGATGTTGTTTGAAAAAGGGAAAAAGAAAAATTAAAAAAAAACAGTTAAAAAATTAACTTTGAAAAACTAATGAATTATAGTAAAAAAAGCCATGAATTCTATGTGCAGTATTCCCCTAGCGCTGGAGTTCTCCCGTTCTCCTTGATCGGTAAACTTGGTCTTGGCTTGCTGGCTGTTCGTCCTGATCTTCTGGGGGAGGGGCCTGTTGCAGTGGTTCCCAAATGTCTTTGCCGGAGGCGGAATTGCCCCGCCCTTGTGATTTTGGGCTAAGCAAGCTGCTCTGGTTTGCTCTCAGGAGCTTTTATTCCCTGCAAGCTCTCGGTACAGCTTTGGAGGACCAGGGCAAAAATGGTGGCCTCCCAATCTCTGCCTGGAGGAGCTGAGAACTCGGGGCCCGGCTCCTCTGTGCGCCCCCAGAGAAAAGCAGTCACTCCCTTCTCCCCGGTCTCCAGCTGCACTCCGTGCTCACCTGGCCTGTGACCGAGCGTTGCTATCTCTGGCACTCGACCCCATGTGGAATCTCCAAACGCAGCAGATCCCTGTGGTGCGCTTCCGTGCCGCTCCTCCCAGGGGAGGAAGGGGAGTCTCCCCGGCTCTGCCACTTGTTGGGTCCCTGCTGGAGGAGCAGTAGCCCGACTGTGCCCCGGATCACAGTTTATGGCCACCCCGAGCTGAGAGCCCGCGCCTTGGCTCGGTCTCTGCAGCCGGCTTCCCCGCTCCGATACCTGGGAGCTCTGCCGCACTCAGGCACCCCCGGTCTTTCTGTGACCCCAAGGGTCCTGAGACCACACTGTTCTGGGAGGATTCCACCCCCTGCTTAGCCACTGCAGCGACGTCCCTCAGCCGAGCCAACTTCCAAAAGGTCCGATTTTGTGCTCCGGGGCTCTATCACTTGCCAGAAGCGGCGGACGGAGGCCCCCTCCCCCACCGTCTATCCTCCCGAATATCACCTCGGATTCACTTCTCAGCTCGTCCTACCTTCCAGAAAGTGGTCGCTTTTCTGTTCAGAGTGTTGTTACTATTCTTATCTTCGATCTCCTGTTGAGTTCGTAGGTGTTCAGAATGGTTTGACCCCTATTCACCTGAATTCCTGAGACCAGATGAAATCCAGGTCTCCTACTCCTCCGCCATCTTGCTCCGCTCCAGCAGTTTTTTATAACGTTAAACCTAACACCCACCATCGGACCCACCAATCCCACTCCTGAGTCTTTATAGTAGGTGTAAGTGAAGTTTTCCTTAAAGGGTCAGAAAAGTAAATAGGCTTAAGGACATAGGTCTCTGTCACAACAACTCAACAGTGTCACAGTAGTGCAAAAGGAGCTAGAAGACAGTATGTAAATGAATGCGTGAAGCTGCGTTACAGTAATATTTTATTTGCAGAAATAGGCAGCCAGTCCACAGGCCATAGTTTGCCACCTGTTGGCCTAGAGAAATGAAAACTGTGTTCATTGAAAAACATGTATACAAATGTTTATAGCAGCTCTATTCATAATTAGCAGAAATTGGTAACAACCCGAATGTCCTACATATGGTAAATGGATAAACCTCTGGTACATTCATACACGGACTACTACTCAGCAATGAGGGAGAATAACCTATTGATACATGCAAGGACTTGGATTAATTTCAAAGGCATTATCTGAGTGACATAAACTAGCATCAAAAGGTTACATACTGTATGATTCCATTCATATGATATTCTTGAAGAGACAAAACTAGAGTATAAAGAAATGATCAAGGTAAGGGTTGAATGTGGGGTGTGACTTGACAGTAATAATGGAAATAAATCTTGGGGGATGATGGAATTGTTTTGTATCCTGATTGTGGAAGTGATTACATCCATCTATACATCTCAAAAGTTATAAACCTATACACCCCCCAAAAGGGCAGTTTTTTGAGATTATTATTTACCATTAATACCAACATCAATTCTCCTTATTAAAAAGAGAGTAATCATCATTTTGTGCCTTCATTTCCTTACCACCTAATTCCTTCTTAGCCATTTGCATGCTCTTTCTTGTCTGCACCATTTCTTTCAAAAATCAACTTTTAGGAAGTAAGTCTAAAGAGTTTTTCTCAGTCATCATTCCTGGATTTTTTTTTAAAGATTTATTTATTTTAGAAAGAGAGAGAGTGTGTGTGTGTGAAAGCAGGAGCAGGAGGGGCAGAGGGAGAGGCAGAGAGAATCTCAAACACATTCTGCACTGAGCACAGAGCCCGACATGGGGCTCGATCTCATGATCCTGAGATCATGACCTGAGCCGAAACCAAGAGTTGGACACCTGACTGTGCCACACAGGAGCCCCGAGCTCTGTATTTTTAATAAGGTCCTCAGCCTGACATGGGGCTCAACCTCACCACCTTGAGATCAGGACCTGAGCCGAAACCAAGAATCTGATGCTTAACCCACTGTGCCACCCTGGCTCCCCTGTTCCTATCTTTTTGTAGCATTTTATGCTGTTGATTATTCTCTCCTTAAAGCTCTGCTTTTTGGCTTCTGGGATGCTGTACTTTTTGGATTTTCCTTCAGCCACATTGAGTGCTACAGTTACATAACCTCTTCCTTTTTATGTTTAATGTCTGAACAACAAGTGACAGAATTATATAGAACTGTGCTGTCCAACACACTAGACACATATGGCACTTGAGTACTTGAAATATAACTACTGCTACTGAGAAATGAAGTTTTAAATTTGATTTAATTTTAATTAATTTAAATTTAAAAACTTGATATCCGGTGCTCACTTCTGCAGCACATATGCTAAAATTGGAATGATACACAGAAGATTAATTAGCATGGCTCCCAGGCATGGATGACATGCAAATTTGTGAAGCATTCCATATTTAAAAATAAACAAATATATAAACAAACAAACTCGATATTCAATTCAATTCCTGAAAACTTCTAAGTATGTCTGGAACAACTTGGGTATATTAACCTATTTTTTCAACCCTAAATCTAATCTAAATCTAAATACAGATCGAGTATTTTTGATGAAACCTTGGCATCTGAATTAAGATGTAAATGTAAAATATACACCAAATTTTAAATGCTTAGTACAAAAAAGAATGTAAGATAGCTTATTAACAATTCGTTTATATTAATTGCATGTTGAAATTATAATATTTTAAGTATATTGGATTGAATAAAAGATTATTAAAATTGATATCTCCTGTTCCTTTTTACTTTTTAAAGTGTGACTTCTAGATTATTTTAAGTTACATGTTGGGTCACATTATATTAGACAGCAGTGACTTAGGGGATTCAGTTCCCATAGATACATACATACACACATATGTATGTGTCTATATATACACACATATACACATACATATAGATATATACATGCAAATGCATATACATACGTGTGTGCGTGTATTCCTTAATTTATTATTTGTACAAGCTCTGCCTCACATAATTCCAGGCAGGGTTGTGCTGTCATGTGATAGCTCCAAATCCTTTCTCAGTTGATGGGTGGAAGATCCATTCCTGCATATGAAAGACAGTTTAGGTTGTATGGATGTCGAGAGCAGCATGTGCAAAAGCCTCTATTTTCAGAGATGAAATCAAAGCAAAAGTTTTAAAATGAAAATAACTTATGTCCAAGGACTAAAAAATGGCAGTGCGTAGTCATGTTGGTTCCTTTTGTTTCTGAGGTTCTTTATGAACATTTTAAATCTCATCATGTCTATTAAGTTCAAGAGCCATGAGAATATTCAAAATGCTGTCTACAAAACAGTTTAGGATTACTGTAGAATCATACAAATTGGGAACACTGAGAAAATGATGGGATGAACTGGCAGTATGAATGGTTCTGAAGAAAAAAGGAATCAAGTGATATATGAAAGCTGTGTCTGCAGTTGATGGTAATTAGCAATAGAGGCTACAGGTGTTTGAGATGAGAGAAACTTGTTTGATCAGCATCAATGTTAAATGCCTGCTAGTTCAGTTAGTTCAGAAGTTGAGGACTCCGATTAATCAGGTAAAACTGCTGCTAATGAAAAATGTCATAAGCCAAATATTTCTATGGATTCAACCCTCATTTGAATTGAATTTGCAATGCATCAACATGAGTAATGGAGCCATTAGAGAGGAATTCATCCCTCTGCTAAGGAGTTCCTTGTAGAGAACATTATAGTTAGATGTGTGATTTGGGGGGTGGGTAATTACTTGTGAGAAATTTGGATGTAACTGGTTTATGCTGGGAAAAGATGCAGGCTAGAATGGACATCATCATGGAGAATGTCTATTTTGAAAGCCCAGAAGGTCAGACTCATCTTCCCATTTGGTGAAAACTGAGGTTTTTTTTTTTTTTTTTTTTTAGATTTAATTAATATTAGTGAGGCGGTGAAGGGGAAGAGGGAGAGAAAATCTCCAGCAGACTTCCTGTTGAGCCCAAAGCGAGGGCTCGATCCCACAACCCCCAAGATCATGGCCTGAGCCGAAATCAAGAGTTGGACGCTTAACATACTGAGCCACCCAGGTGCCCCCAAAATTTATGTTTTGAGGCGTAATAAATGTACTTAAGTCATCTGAGTTCCTCAAGAAGATTCTCCTTTTGGCCCACTCCTTTTCAGTTTATTTGACTTAAACAGATTAATGGTAGTGATTTTACTAGCTAAGTGTGCTTGGGAAAGTTCCTTACTGTTCCCTCCCTTGGTTTCCTATCTATAAAAGGATAACAAAAATAATAGTACCCTCCTGAAGCTGTTGAGAATTAAATGAGCTAATACATGAAATGTTAAGAAAAGGACATGGAACAGAACAAGTGCTTACTTGTTAGGTATGGCTGTTATTACTAACATTCTTTCCAAGGCAAACTCATGGCTTCAACTGTCACCTAAGGTTTATGACTTCCAATCCATCACAGATCTTCATCCTACTATTCCATCTATATACTAGGCATCTCCACTTGGATATATATAAATGGCACCTAAAGCAAAATAAATCAGCTATCTAAAATAGGATCTTCTATCCCAAACCACATTCTCTTTAAGTTTTATTTCTAATATATGTCACACTACTAATCTCAGAATCATTTCCTTTTATTCACATCCAGCATGATTGAGATAAAGGAAAATGCTCTGTCCCTTTATAAATACTTGCTGATTGTAAAAAATTTGGAAAATAGGGAAAAATCAGAAAGGAGAGACTGGGGAGATGGCCTGTAAGAGGCCAGGTTAATTCTAAGTGATTGGATTAAATTATATTTTGTCTACATTAAAAAATGATAAAAATAAGGGTGGTTAAGTCAGTTAAGTGCCAGATTCTTGGTTTTGGCTGAGGTCATGATCTCTGGGTCTTGGGACTGGGCCCCAGGTAGGGCTCCACACTGGGCTTGGAGTCTGCTTAAGATTCTCTCTTTCTCTCCCCCTCTGCACACCACCCACCCCACCCCCCATTCCCACTTGTGCACATGGACGCTCTCTAGAATAGATAGAATCTTTAAAAAAAGACAAAAACTTTCCATAACATTTTAAACTTCCAGTTAAAAATTTCAACATATTTCATTTGTTTGATATTTTCTCAGATAATTAAGACCCTACTGTATGCACACAGGGATATGATCTTTTTATACCTAATGTCTTCACCACTGAAATTTTCTAAAACATTTTAAACTAAGACTTTAAAATTCAAATTTCCAAAGTAAACTTTAATGACTTGTTTTTGTTTTAGGGCTGCAGTATATACTCAGATATTCCTGAGGATAATAATTCAATTCTTACAAGTTTTCTTCTGCTCTTTGTTTTGCTTCCTCCGGTACCTGTTCTAAGCTGGTTATTACACTGGATATTCTAAAAAGCCTGCCGGTACCTTGTTTCCTGCAATGAAAAGATGAATGAAGGGGCTGTGTAGGTGAGTATAGAGTTCTCTGCCTTCATCCATGGTAGAACAATTGAGGAAGGCCCACTTATGTGAACATAAATTGTTAGTAGGTGTTATGGCTCACTTCATTTGTACTGCTTCTGGGGTCCTAGCCCAAAATGATTTTGTAGGAAAGAAAATTATTCTGTTGTACATTAATAGAATTTTGCTCGTTTTAAATTGCTCTCAAGAACAAAATGATTATAAAACAGAAGTGTTTTTTTCTTTTTAAAAAGATTTTATTTATTTGACAGAGAGAGACACAGTGAGAGAGGGAACACAGCAGGGGGAGTGGGAAAGGGAGAGGGAGAAGCAGGCGCCCCAGAAGTGTTTTTCTTACAAAAAAGAACAGGTGTGGAAGATATGTCTGACCGCAAACATACAAAGAACTCTAAACCTCCTTTTCAAATTAAACTGTGTAATTTCATAAATCAGATTATTTTTAAATTTTTTATTGTTATGTTAATTACCATACATCATTAGTTTTTGATGTAGTGTTCCATGATTCATTGTTTGTGCATAACACCCAGTGCTCCACGCAGAACTTGCCCTCTTTAATACCCACCACCAGGCTAACCCATCCCCCCACCCCCCTCCCCTCTAGAACCCTGTTTGTTGTTGAGTCCATCATCTCTCATGGTTCGTCTCCCCCTCCGACTACTCCCCTTCATTCTTCCCCTCCTGCTATTTTTTTTTTAACATATATTGCATTAAATCGGATAATTTAATCAAAACAGTTTTTAAAAATGGTAAATTGTATTTTTTGTTGAAATATAATTTGAATTCAAAGAAGTATTTTCCAGACCTGATGTAAGTTCAGACGTATCGCCAATTTGACTTTGTTTTTATTTTTTAAAAGATTTTATTTATTTGACAGAGAGAGAGAGATCACAAGTAGGCAAGCAGGCTCCCTGCTGAGCACAGAGCCCAATGCCTGGGCTGGATCCCAAAAGACTGGGATCATGACCTGAGCCGAAGGCAGATGCTTAACCGACTGAGCCACCCAGGCTTTGTTTTTAAATTATCAGAATATTTGACTTCTTTAATGTTGATTTATTTCTGTTCTGTGAAAGCCATTCAATAAACTTGGTATCGGGGTGCGGGTTGGGAGGAAGTAAATAATTTTGAAGATTTGGAAAATGCAGATGACTCATGCTGACACGATTACTATATTTTGGTATATACTGTTCTGCTATTGAAATATATATATTTATATATAAAAATCTGGGGGGCTCTTCAAATTATACAATTATAATCGTCCAAAAACAGTATCTGTGGCCTACCTTTTAATTATGCACTTTTAATTTTCTCACATAACATTCTTTTAATATACATGAATTTTAACATGTATGCTTCTGTATTCACACGTGTCCAACATATATTTAACCAACAGCCTCCAGAAAGGTGTTTCCAATTTACACGCTCACCAAAATGGCCTGAGTGCTTTTCCCTTCCACAGCATCACGTAATTAAAATTAAGAAGAAACGGCCCTAAGTTTTGGGAATCCATCCGGTAAAACATCGTCCCGCTGATCTAGTTACTAGCCCTTGGTCCGAGCGCGGTCTTGAACTTTCCCTTCCCGCCTCTCACAGTTGACGCTCTCACAGAGCACATCCGACTTGGCCGCTGCAGGATGACGCAGAGCCTGGGGCGGGGTCGGCTAGAGGGCTACGCGCGGCGGGAGAGACGCCGACGTCGGCGTGGCGCACAGTGCTGATGCAACACGCACGCGGGGCGGGGCGGGCCGCTCGTCGGCCGGCGACGGCGCTGCGTCACGGGCTTTCCGGCGCTTTGCTCCTGGAGACGGCGACCGGTGTGGGCCTCGGCTCTGGCCTCCCGCGCCCTGGGAGTGAGGTCTCGGCGCGATGAGGCGCAGCAAGGCCGACGTGGAGCGGTACATCGCCTCGGTGCAGGGTTCCGTCCCGTCGCCCCGAGAGGTGAGCGGGTCTTGGAGAGCCGAGCGGCCTCCGCCCTGGCCTTG